TGACGCGCTGGTAGCGCAACATAAGGTGGTTTGCGCAACACTCGCCTATACTGCGTTCTGCTCAAGGTAGAGCAAAGGGGTCATTGTAAGCAAAAGTTTAAGATACCACTCAAAGCTGAGACCAAGACGACATTTATAAAAGCACTGCATGTGCCAGCAAAGGAAGAGGGCCTTTAATTTTGAAAGTTCATCTGAAAGATGAAAGGAATCCACATCTTCATAGCATAAAGATAATTTGTAGCCAGAAACCATGCTAATTTTCATTATCACTTCATTGATTTGTATGCATTTAATATGCTTGCCTGCAGCTAGCATACATGACAGATATCTTTACTTAGGAACTGTCCTGAGTTTAAAAAAAAAATCTCAATTCCTCTCTAGAGAGCTTTATTTCATTTACATATTTGTCATTTCAAAGCTTACTGCATACAAGCTAGCCTTCTTCTGAAGCGCAACTGCTTTGCCTGTCCCCCCTGTCGGTACCGCATTGCACTGGTTATCTCCTCGCTCTGCGACATTCTCCAGAGATTAACTACAAATGAGGCACAATTCTGCAGTCGTACATGCTCAATTTGACACAGCAGAAATTCCAGGGACAATAGATCAATGTGTGTGCAAATGTAAACATATGAGAGAAGATTCACAGGATTAGAGTCTCGTCATATTACAGTGCAAATTATTTTCAGGATCAAATTTGATTTTGTTGAAGCAAGCTCTCCAAAAACGAGCATTTTAAATACCTTACATTTTATTCAGTTAAAAAAAAAAAAAAAGAGTCCTGATTTTTACATTTCAATGTTTTACAAATAAAAAGTTTCCGAAATTATTTATTCCCGGACAGAAAAGTTTGGCAAGAGACTAACAAACCAGAAATCCTCTCAAGAAGTAGTCTGCTGAGATGGACTTCCATAGGCCAGTGCCTTGTCTATTATTACACCAATATCAAAATTTATTAAAAATTGGAATTTTTATAGAAACCATTTGCTTAAATGAAAAGTTAGGATTTATGCAGTCTGCCTCTATAACACCTTTCTAATAAAATTTAGACCATCAAAACCATGGATCAGAGAAGTCTCATAAATCTAGCTGGAAACTTCAGTGATAAAATAAGTTATTTCTAAGCAAAAACCCAAGAAACAGGAGAGGAAAAAAGTCTTTCCATAAATCCCACAAGGAAAGAGGGAGTTACAGCAGAAATGTTCAGCGTTAATTGAGGCCACTAGTTATATGCAGTACAACTCTACAGTTCAAATATAACTTTAAAATAGAACATCTTCAATAGAGCTCTCTGTTACAGCAATGTGACTGAACCGTAAGTACATTAGGAACGACGCACCTTTCCACGTTTACGGGGAATACTCATTTCACGCATACAAAGTAAGCCACTCCTTTGCTTTTCCATTACCAAACTTATGCAAGTCAAGAGCTACTGTCTCATTAGAAAAAAAAAAAAACGTTAACCTTTCCTATAGAACAGCAAAGATTTAGTCACTTGACATTTCTAACAACAAAGCATATTGCATCTTCACGGAACCCGAAACAAGCACATTTTGAAAGTAAAAATTTTCATTTTGTCTATACTGGGGGCAGCTTGGTGACCAGCTACACCAATCTAAACTGGTGTGGTGGCTGTCCACCCAGTTTCACTCTTCCTTTCGTGTGTCTGTCCAAGCACTTGTCTGACCACGCGGTGAGCTAGTTCAGTAAATTAAGTCAGAAAAAACCCTGACCCTACAAAAATAAACCCACAGGGAGGGCAGGGCTGCAGCAGTGCCAACTTGGACAGACTGGCTAAAGCTGTCACGGAACTATAAGTCATTTATGTGTTTCTCCCTTCCCCCCTGCCCTCCCCCAAAACAAGATGTAAAAACAAACCCGTTACTACCGGACCAGGCATAAGGGAAGTAAAGATATACGAAATGGTTGTTTCTCCATGAAATCATATTCTCTTGCTTTTACAAGCCTTCAGCAAAACACTTCCAATTGCAAAGCATTCCAAGAAATCATTGATTTGATGAAGCTATTTTTGACTACCAAAAAGCTGCCTGAATGACTTACCAGAAACATTAACTGATGTTCCTGCATCGATAATTCCACTGTTCGGCCTTACGCAGTATCTACGGGGTGCTGTGGTCTTAACTTTGAAGCACACATTTCTGTCTGTAGGATTGCCGAGTTTCAGGTTTGTGGTGACAACATCTGTGAAAGGCCCTGAGGAAGACATGAAAAATAGACTTTACATCACACAGAAAACACTCTCCAAGCAGAAGCTAAACAGGCTCTAAATCTCTGCTCACAAATCTTGTAAAGTAATTAGATGTTAAAATTCCCATCTACGGCACTTACAGATAATTGTGCACACGAAGCTAAAGATGTAGCGACGCCTCTGAACATTTTGACATGTAGCATGCATGAACACTGACAGCATAACAGTTGAAGCTGATCATTAAAAGCAAAACAAAAAGGGGGGAATCGTTTATACGTGGTGCCAACACAACAACATAGTATTCATATGATGCCAAATTCTCTGTTTTATCATAGTTATCCCACTGTAACTACCGAATCAGAGCAAATCCAGGCTTACAGAGATACTATTTATGTTTATCTATGTCATAGTCATTAGTAGTATCCCCTACAGATCCTCTAGAAAGGCTAGTACAGTACACTAACCAGAGAGGAAACTGTAACAGAGTGGCTACCATAGAGTCACGTGCATATATAGGTGGGCCTCCATGAGAGCAGGATTCCAGTGGGTATGGGTAATGCCACAGCCATAACCAGCCCGACCAGCGCTCTGCATGCACCCCTTTCTCCTGTCAGGTCTCTTCCTTATTTCTTCCCCAATAATTCACCCGGCTACTCGAAATGAAATCTCCGAATAAACTAGCCTACGTCATCAAGACAGGAAACAACCGTGCGGAAAGAGGAAGCTTCTTGGATGCCGACAGCACCGGCCACGATTGCTGTAACAGCAAAGCCAGAATTGAACCGTTGTCAACTTCTGCAATAACAAACGCAGGCAAATAAGTGAATTTCTGGCAGGCTCCCTACCTATAACTGCCGTGATCCCCAAGGTTAGAAGAAAAGCTAGTTACTGGTTTACTAAAAGACACTGCTAAGTCAGATACAGGTAGCAAGTAACTGCACTCTTTGCTTAACTTGCAGAGAATCAAAATGGAAGAACCATAAACACAATTTTATCAACTGTCTTCAGCACAAAAAGAATAATTTGAAGTCTGAATAAAACGTCTTCATTTATCCTCAGGAAAAGCACAAAACGGATAAAAAGACTACCAAAATTTTTCTCATAGAAATGATAGTCCTGAAATTTAAAAAGGATAAGCGGTTATTTAAAAAAAAAAAAAAAAAAGAAAGAAAGAAAGAAAAAAAAGCAAGCAACATTCCACTGTTCTCCTTTTGCTCCCTTAAGGAAAATAGGGTTGGTTCTGGACTGCAGCATGGCTGGTTTCAAATAATTTAAGTTTATTTCCTTTTCCACAAATAAATCATGCAAATTTGTCTCTTAAGATGCCATTTAATATCACTGTAAAAGTATTGCAGTCCTGCAAGCTTTGTCCTTGATCCAAATAACGCTAAACTTTTAAAACAAAAAAAATTTAGACAACAAGGTAGCACCGTTTCTACCCGCACTCTAAAGAACTCACATACTCATTTACAATGCAATCTGGTAGCAAAAAACAGAAGCAATTAGATTTTCCGATTCAATGAGAAAGATTTCACCAAACCTGTGCCTGTTGAAATGCCGAGATGTGAAAGCGCATGAAGCACAGCTGGCAGGTTTTCTCTGTTTTGCATGCAGATAGAGTCTTTAAGACTAATGGAAAATAACTGGGCAGGAGAAGCTGCGAGTTGCTCAGTAAGTTAAACGTTTGCTGCATTTTTCTGATAACTTCACTTGTTTGGGTACATGAAGACAGGGCAAGATCTTCAAGACAGCTCTAACTGGCAGAGGTCTAATGTTTCAGAAGGAATCACTTGATGTCCAAGTACTAAAGATGTGCCTTTATTAAAAAAATAACAGCTTGAGCTGTCCCGGCGCAGAGGGAGGGTTGCGTGTACAAAGCCCTACATATGCAGCTGCATCCTCAACAGCACTTTACTACTCTGCATGCTGGGATAGATTTCCTGTGGGAAATACCATGTTTTTATTTGGCTGATCCATGAATGCATGCAGGGTGTGTGTGCTCCTGCACAGAGCTGCTGTTTGTAATAGTAATACGAGAATAATTCTGTGCGTAAAATAATTTCCAAATGGAGTTACTTACTCCATGTAACATAGACCATACTGAAATATTTGGCAGCAAAACCTTTCAGCAGACCAAAATGATTTCTTGTGTGCCTAAATGACTTTTCTGCTTCTTTTCTGTCCACTAAACATTTTTTTGGATACATTTTCCCCAAATTACAGGTTCTACACATCACAGAGCACAACTGTACTAGAAAGCTGACATCTGCTTTCAGCAAGCTTGTGCAGAGGCTTATTCCTTATGACATTGCTATGCAAATAGTGTGAGCAAAGCAGAAGGGTGAAGACACGCAGGATTAAAAGTGGTGCTTTCAAGTGCATAAGAAAAGAATAAACAGACAACAGGGTATTGCTTGGGGGTAATTAGAGCACGGCAATGAAATATTATCAGCCAGGCTTGGTCAGCCTGACTTTTAAGAGTGAGGCCCATGGCCTGCCAACTCCGGATGAAATGAAACCTTGAGAGCCCATTGCTAAATCCCTAGGTCAAACCTGGGTTACAGATTTTCCTGTGGGCAGTGCTAACAGATTCCCAGATAAACACGGTCTACTTCTGCACTGGAGATGCTCCTCTGCGTTCTAATATCTGGGTTTGAGCACTTACGGTATGGGTTTAAATGGTCATAAGAGACACACAACATCCACATCCACCCTGGAGCTTCACTTTTCAAGACAAGGCACTAGGACTTCTGGAATCACATTCACAGCTACAGTAGGATAAAATGCTCTACGCTTCTCCCTAGTGCCTTCCCATTATCAGCGTGGAAATAACTTAGCCTTTGTCCTCACTGCAAGTAGATGGACAAGTATATGCAACATTTGGATAACATCTATACCACCCAAGATGGGCTGCAAATCATAATTCCAATCAGTCAGGTTTGTGCATCTGGATAGCACTTGGGTTAAAACCAACTAGTCTACTCTGCAATGAAGACAGACTAAACTGAAGCCACACTCTTACAACATGGCCCTTATTTCATAAAGTCCAAAACAAAAGAATGTATTTGTGATTGTTTGCAATATTTCTGGAAAAGTGAAGCTTGTATTTCTGCAAACACAAATACAGCAGGTTTAAGGGCAGAGTGCTTTCTGAATGACATTTCGCACTTCAAAAAATCCTAAAAAACAAAAATCAATAAACTGTTTTTTTCCCCTGTTTTTAAAGATCATGAGAAAAATGCCACTGGTGTCATCCCAAGGACAAAGTTACGGGAAACTCAAGGGCTGGACGTGCATCATCTGACATGGGGTTGCCATGGGAGCAAGCTGTCCAGAAGGAAGAATGCAGCAAATTGCATTTGGCGGTGAAAGTTTGCAATGTTCCACAAGGGCCTGACAACTTTCCCCTGTCAGTCAGAATAAAGTCAGTTTGTGTTCATGCAAACTGTGGGCAACTCGTAATATGCAAACTAGCAGGTACTATTTAAAGAAAAAAAAAAAAGAAAATAAGATATCCCATGTTCATGTAACAACAACCAACAAGATGTGTAACTGAAAGATGTATAACTGATTTTCATAGAATCACTTTTCATCAGGGTTAGTTTCAAACTACAGCTGTAGCTTTCCACCCAGGGGCTATGCATACAACCCTTCACATTTGAAGATCACAGTATTATCTCAGAATTTGCCACGCTCCATTTCCTATTCAAACACCAGCGCTGTATCAATCTTTCCTAAGAGTGCCATTCTGCAGTGTAGTGCATTATAATATCCCAGATCATTTTGGTAATAATACAAAAGCCTGAGAATTAGGTCAAAAGAACATGATGTCAACTCTATTTACATTTTAAATAAGCTTCATCACAATAAAAAAACATGGCACATGCTTGTAACAGCAAATCCAGGCTGATCACTTTTTGTGCATCACGGTACTTTCTCTAAGTTTCGGTTACTGTAAGAAGCAAGTGATACATGTTACACAGCTACATCATTTGCACAGAATCTTAATAAAATTCTTCTCCTCTTAACCAAACCTCCTTGCATCAGCACCACAAGTTAACAACCCTCACACACGTGTACTTCTAATGCAAATATGACTGCCGTAACCTAGTTTGGCGTGTGAAAGGAAAGTTAGCGCGAGTGTCAACAGAAGCAAAGATTTGGTAGCAGAGGCTTTGGCAGAAACTTTCAAACCAAAGAGGCATAATCCTCTGCAGACTTGCACGTGCACATACTACTACTATATCTTCAGTATTAACTGCTTATGTTAGTTGGGCACAGTCCCACGGCCACGTTAGCCTTGCAGCAGTCTGTCTTGCTCTCATCCCCATCGTTTACCTGTGCTACTTGCACTGTGCTTGTCGAGCTGACAGACAGTCAGGTTATGGAACTGCTTAGGCTGAAAATTAATCCAGTAACAAGAAAGGGTGAGGAGGGGGTGGCAGCGGGAAAGAGAAAAAGGAAAATCAGTTTCCAGGCAGACCGTGCAGCACTCAGAAAACAGCATCAGGAAAACTGCATCTTCCTGCACTACAGACTTCTGCCAAATTAAGGCAATGAGATCTCACATTTAGTAAGCTAAAGCTGGCATGTCTAGGTGTACGCACTGCAGTCACACTTTTCCTTGCCATGCTGACAGGTCTGTTCAAAGTAATTAAGGCACGTGCCTAACTCTCTGTGTCTGAATCCAATGCAAATTCTCATCTGCTTAAAGCTGGGCATCCCCTAAACAATTTACTGAACCGGTGCCTTTCAGAGCAAATGTGCTGCAGTAGCACTCGATACAATCTATTCACTGAAGTGATGTTAAACTGGCAATCATTTTGATTAACAAGGCTAAGAATAAATTCTCAGGAAGTTGCCCAAGTTATTCCCAGAATGTTTTAGATGCATTTTCATCACCTTTCCCCAGACAACAATTTTTGCACTCCAACTCAGTAACACAGACATATATCCAAAGGCAAGGTAATTGGTAAAGGCAGAAATACAACCAGTGCTTCTGCTGAGGCAATCCCTCTTGCTCCTTTGTGGAAAGTAGCAGAAAGCAAGAATAGGAGGAGAAAGACTTATTTCACCACTGTCTAATCCTGTCCACGTGTCAGACGGAAGTCATTAATCACCTGGCATATACTGGTCAGCCACAGAAAAGTAACCACGGAGCCTTCAATAGGTGGAGATTAGGAGAGGGGGAAACCTAAATTGTTTTGTAGCTATTCTCAAGAGCCCAAATCCTACTTATTAGCAAGATGTGTCCTGACTGCTGAAAGTCCACATGGACCAACAATTCATTCATCCACCGGAAGAGTCAGGTTTACTATGTGCATGCATCTGGGGGTGGAAGCACAGGAGGTGAATATGACACTTCCCTTTCCCGTCACAGACCTGCTGCTGGCCGCAGGGCATGGAAATGCCTCCCCAGCAGCTTCCTCAGCCCCTCACACTGGGATGGGAACTTACTGCAGAGCCTGAGTAAGCATTAGCACCCCCAATGAAACAAACATCCAAAAGCTCAGGCATGCCTCCATCTGCATGTTTCAGCCTTTCTACTTAGAGTCCTTCTTACCATCGCACCTCAGTTGTTTCTCAGTTTCCTTATTACGCCTCTGACAGTATCTGAAGTCACCTTACTGTTTTGTTTCCACGTTTTTCTCCCATTTTATCTATGTGGGACTGTATCAGCAACAGAGATAGTCGAAATAAAAACACTGATGGTAAAACCAAAGACTGTCAAGAGAGCTCAATACTAGGTGCGTAACCCGACTTACTTTAAAGTCATATATAAAGTTGATGACCTTTAAAAATAAACACTGAAGTGAAAAAAGCTGAAATGTCAAGCAAGACGTTTTGAGCTGTCAGCCAGGTGCCTGCGAATCAAGAACATCTAAGATCCAATCAAATTCTCCCACCATCTTACTTGTCTTTAAACAAATCACTTAAGGGCTTGATCTTCTGCTATTAAAAGCCTTAAGAGTTGACAGCGACTCCAAACAGAAGCAGGTTTGGACCCTTATAGTTTCTCTCCCTGTGAAGTCAGGAGAATACTTACCTAATTACAGAGAATCTTGTGAAGATTAGTGTTTTAAAAAGCACTGAATGCCAAGTTTTAATCATCATCATCATCTGACTCTGGAGACCTTTCTAATTAAGTGAGCATCAGCAACTTTTGAAATCAAAGTCGTCGAAGAATGAAAAACAAGAAGTGCCTCTGTTGCATAAACATCTTATTTCAAAAGTAACTTACTGAAAGGATCCAACAATCCCAATTTGTGAACTACTTTTAAGAAAAACTCAGGCAGTTCTTAATTCCTGTGTAAACCATTCCTGTGTAAACCCTTTCAATCTCGGCCCAGATTTCACATACAAGCACCTAGAAAACTGTGCCCTTGTGGGATCATTTTCTTTACTCTTACCATGACTATCCTCACCCAAAGGAGCCCTTGAAGTGAAGTGGAAGGGACGGGAAATGGTCATTTTCACTTTTGCTGTGCCAAGCAGTAGAAACCTTGATGAAAAAATTATTACAAAAATTAAAATACCATCCAAATCGCTCCCCGTGCATTAGTTTATGCCAAGGATTATTTTTTAAAAATTATCTAATTGATAAAATAATCCCAGACTGAAAAAGAAAACAGAGAAAAACAACTATACTACATGTTCCACATGCCAAACTTGGAGCAGGGTTTACAGTTTGTAAATTATTCCATTTGGATGGATTAATCAGTGTCCTTCTCCGGCCTGTTTTGGCACAACCTGTTTTTGCCAGAGCATGTCTCATGCTTAATGGGGGGGAAAAAAAATGACACAAACACAAATATGAGACTGAAGACTATTTTCAGGATATCAATTAGTATATAATGTTTGTCACCTTCTACATCTTCAGAAGAGGATTATTAACTGTTTGACTTCGCAGTTTTAAGAACTATGAAGCCATACATAAGCTTGCCAAGAGAAAGGAAAGAACACGCCCTTCAAGTAATTTTTGTAAAAGGCTCATTTGCTTGTGCTGATTTCTTCAGAATTTTATTACATCCTACAATTATTTACAGATATTGTAAGCAACAAAAGCACGCAAGCAGAAATATCTTTTTCTGCATCCTAAACTTCAGAGAGATTTATTTCTGCATACAATGGAATAAACAAGGGACTGACAGAAGAATTGGCTACCTTTCAGAGGTATATCTCTGTCTCAACAGTGCTTTCACATCCTGAGTCCCAAACACACCACATTACATTGCTCATTCCATCCGCAAATATGATCTATACCACCTCTCTTCAGGTATGAAAAAGAAAATAGTGGCATACTCTCTTTTGACAGTGGAACAGTTACTACAATGTCATGGTTATTGAAAGAGAGGCAACAGTGATACCTGCTTATTCTACATAGCCAGAAGCCTCACTCAAATGGGCTGGCGGATGTTGAAAGGATACTGAAACTGAGTCCCACACCTACACCGTTTTACAATTTGTGTTGTAAGTAACTGGATCACCAGGCAAACCTCCCCCTTCTCTATTTTTTCCACCCCTCGTTGTGGAAACCAACCAAGAAAAGAGGATTAAATTTAGAACGATGAAATCTTTAATCCATAGCATGATGGCAGGAGGCACTTCATTTGCAGCTGAGAGAACTAGTCACTAAAGGAATTTAGTAAAGAGATTATTTTCATAAAGCACTTCTAATAACGTGAGATAAAGTACTGCAGGCTGCAGCAAGACCCAATCTATAAAAAATTTTTTGAGGCCAGATGAATTAGAGTTGAGGTAGGCAATTTTCAGAGCAGTTAAAACGCAGGAAGGACAGACTCAGCCAACTGAGTCTGGAGTGTCTTGCTAGTGTAAACAGTCAGACACTCCTATCCATGTGCATTTTACTCCTACACTGAATTAAACACGGAAATGGTGATTTGCTTTACAGGCATTTTCAATGGCAGCAAAACTGTGACAGCTGTTTCAGACTGATGGCACAAACTGCCCTCTGCGACAAGGTTGCCCAGCAGGCCACGTTTCCAAACTCAGCAGTAGTCCAGGCATATCAGAAAATATCCTATATGCCTTCTGCAGACAAACCGTTTCCATTTCGGTCTACAAGGCAACGGTATGAAAGGATTTATATATTTAATAAATATTGGGTCAAAAGCCCTCTGGCAGATTTGGCATGAGTCTGGCCCTTACTTTAGATAAACTGGTACGTAAATCCTGGTATACAAACACAAAAGAGGCTGCTTTTCTGCCCTGGTTATCACGTGGAAAGACAACGAAGGGAGGCCTCAGCGCTTCTTATTGCGGGAACTGTCTTCACAGTGCAGGACTTCCTCCTTCAGAGAGGAGAGAAGTTGAATTGGGAAAG